ATCTCTTAAATAATTAGGCTTTATCCCATGAAGGACTTTATAGGTAACAGGCAACACTTCAAATTATATTTGAAGCCAACTGGTGAGCAATGGAGTTTGTTTATAGTGATCACACATGGGTATATAAAAAATCAACTGTTATTGCTTGTGCTCTTTTAAACCAGCTATAGTTCTGATGGTCTTCAAGGTTCCCATTTAGAGTACTTTGCAACAGTCCAATAATGAGGACGGTGGTTGTACTTGGTGGTGTTAGGTGCAGTTATTTGGTTGGGGTAAGACTCTTGGCAGAAGAAGTATGAATATCTGGGTCTTGGACATCAATATCTGCGATAGAAGTGGACTGAGGGAGGGAGGGAGGGGAAGAGTAAGGGCAGATGCCATTATTGGAACTATAATAGGCAGAGTTAGATGTAGTAGAAATCTGAAGTTGAGCCGCACAGAGATGCTTGGAATGATATTTAAGAGCTATCCCATGCCTTGCCTTTAGTATTTAGCCTCTGGAACAGATAAACAGATTCTTGTTAGCCCTGGACTCTTGCCTGTTGCTATTAAATACCAGAATAGCATGTAACAAGGCTACCATCATCATGAATAGGTTGTGGAGAACGTGAGACCTCTTATTGAGATTGGGCCTATACAAAAAATTAAAATGGCTGCTTGTTGTGCTGTCTTCCCTGTTGTGCAGTAGAATCCTGCTTTAACTGCTAGATTTTACTTTTGGGCTGGCAGTGGTTTCCCTGAGGCTAATGGTCCTCAGGGACTTTTAACCTGCCTCTTGGTGGCATGAACCCAACCCATATAACAGAGGGCCCAATGTACACCAGGCATCACCCTCCTAGGCAGAGATGCAATACAAAGTTTAGATAAATGAAACATAACATTATTAGAGCATTCAGCCATGGCTTTCTATCGCTTGTTCACATGCAGAAACAAAAAGAAACACTTTTCCTGATAAGAATAATCTGTGAGTACATCTTAGTTTGATTTCTCTCAGGAAGTATTTTCAAAGACTGCAAAGGAAGTTTCTGAATGAGAATTGGAAAGAAAACCCACAGATTGGAGATAATGGCTAGAAACTATAAAGACCTAGACAGAGCTAACTATTAAAAGATTTATGATTTTAATAGAGAACAAGGGAAGTCTGCATTGGATTATATTATATAATCCAATACATAGTAAAACCTGTCTATGCAACATAGATGGCCCTACTAGGGGCCAAAAATAATGGAAAATCAGAGTTTATCAGTTAAAAGAAAAAGCCATTTGTCAATTTCAGCCACAGAGGGAGTTTCTGCAAACTCAATTCCAGATTAGAAAGCATGTTTTCAAAACAAAGCATCATACATATATATTAAGCCAACATTACAGAGTTTATACATTTCCAAACAGAAAACACTAATCTGGCATAATATTAAATAGTTCAGTAACTCTGCTATACAGAGTTTCAAGAAGCAATCTCAAAATGGATAACATAAGGGAAGAATAATGCAAATATTCAAGTTGTAGATTATGCTTGTAAAATCTGTCAGGGAAATCTAAACTGAATGCAACCTATTTGTTTAATATATGTGAAGCATTCTAAAATGGTGCTTTGCACTGGGTTTCTATCAGATTCTGAGAAGCCGTAGAAAGCTCTGGTTACAAGGAGATTTCAATTACAATAGTGACCAGATCTGTGAAAATGGTAGTCTTTAGCACGGGTGTCAAATTCGCCACATCACGTGATGTGTCACGACGTATAGCAACTTTTTTTGCATTGCCGGAGCTGGGGTCGGCGCAGCCTCCTTATGATGCAAACAGCCCATGGGCTGGCAGTTTGACACCCCTTTACTGCTTTTTAGAGCAGTAAAAAGAAAACTATGAAACCTGGACACTGAGAAAGCAAAAGAAATCTTCAAATTATGGATTTGGAGACAGTAACTAGAAATGCTACGAAATGCAAGAAGAATGATAATCAGTTCTGGATGAAATAAAAAGTGACCTGCTCCATTGACGCAATGATCCACAAGCAGAAACTCACATGTAATATATAAGTTGTGATGTCTGGAAAAACCTATTATGCTTGGCAAATTTGAGCAAAATAGAAGACAACACATCAAGTATATGGAAGGCATCAAGATAATTGCTGGCATGTCCATGGAAAAACTATGAATTATTACTAGAAACCGATTGGGATGGTGAGCATTTGTCCATACAGGCACCACAAATTATGTTTATGGAAATGTAAATAAATAATTGATTAAATTACATTAATTATGCTTGCATGTCAACTATTACCTGCCCAAATCATAGCCAAGCAAAGCAATGTCAAATTATTTTAAGTAGGCTTTTTTTTTTTTTTTTACAATTCTATAGTAACATAGCAAAGATTTAGGGAGTAAATTACGTTGAACACATTGCACAGTTTTTCTGTTTTTATATTAACTAATAACACAGACGGTTGTCTGATAACCCAAGATAAAACAAATTGCTTAGGTGGCTATAAAAATAATAACTGGGTTATTTCTACTTAAAGGATAAACTGTTCCTCTTTGCTTCTTGATTCATAGACAGATAAAATTGTTCAGAAGTTTAGATGGAATCTCTATTTATTCTTTGTTTGACAACATGTGCTTTGCTGTAGTTAAGTTTCCAACACAGGCATATGATCTGATATTTTTAGCATGGTATATACTTTTAATCGTGGGAAAAGACAGGCATATTTTGCAGCATTTACATAAATCTGCCAATAGAAATAGAATGGTAAATGCCTGAGGATTTTTAAGCTAAATTTATATTTATGTAATTCTTTTTAATCTGCTATAATTGGTTATATAAAATTCATTTAATCTAAAATAAAAGGTAAGGTACACAGTGATTGGCCCAGAACTACATCACTCAGGAAGAAAATGGTAAGTGAGAACCTGTCCACCCTAGATGAGTTCAAATCACCAGGACCAGATGGATTACACCCCAAGATTCTGAAGGAACTGGCAGATGTGATCTCAGAACCACTGAACTATATCTTTCAAAGATCCTGGAGCACTGGGGAACTACCAGAGGACTGGAAAAGAGTTGATGTAGTTCCCATCTTCAAAAAAGGAAAAAAAAATGGATCCAGGAAACTACAGACCTATCAGCTTGACCTCAATACCTGGGAAGATTCTGGAAAAGATAATCAAGCAATGAGTCAGCGAACACCTAGAGGCAAACAAAGTCATAACCAAAAGCCAACATGGGTTTGTCAAAAAACAGATCATGCCAGACAAAGCTTATTGTATTTTTTGACCGGTTGACAAAATTAGTGGTCCAGAGGAATGCTGTGGATATAATTTACTTGGACTTCAGTAAAGCATTTGATAAAGTAGACCACAACCTACTACTAGATAGAAAAATATGGGTTAGACAGCATCACCACCATATGGATTCGTAACTGGCTGACCAACCATACTCAGTGTGTAGTCCTCAATGGAACTGCATCTATATGGAGGAAAGTATGCAGTGGGGTACTCCAAGGTTCTGTTTTAGGTGCAGTACTCTTCAACATCTTCATCAATGATTTGGATGAGGAGATAAATGAGAAACTCATCAAATTTGCAGATGACACCAAGCTGGCAGGAATAGCCAACAGTCCAGAAGATAGGCTTAAGATACAGAAGGATCTTGACAGACTTGAACATTGGACGCTATCTAATAAAATGAAATTCAATGGTGGAAAAAGTAAGGTTCTACATTTAGGCAAGAAAAACCAAATGCACAGGTACAGCATAGGTAGTACCTCACTCAGTAGTAGTAAATGTGAGAGGGATCTCGGAGTCCTAGTGGACAATCACTTAAATATGAGCTAACAGTGTGCTGCAGCTGCCCAAAAAGCCAACACAGTGCTAGGCTGCATTAACAGAGGGAGAGAATCAAGATCATGTGAAGTGTTAATACCATTTTATAATGCTCTGATAAGGCCACACTTGAAATACTGCATCCAGTTTTGATCACTACAATGTAAAAAAGATGCCGAGACTTTAGAAAGAGTACAGAGAAGAGCAACAAAGATGATCAGGGGACGGGAGGCTAAAATATATAAGGAACAGTTGCTGGAATTGGGTATGTCTAGTTTAATGAAGAGAAGGACGAGGGGTGATATGATAGCAGTGTTCCAATATCTCAGGGGTTGCCACAAAGAAGAAGGAGTCAAGCTATTCTCCAAAGCGCCTGAGGGCAGGACAAGAAGCAATGAATGGAAACTAATCAAAGAGAGAAGCAACCTAAAAATAAGAAGAAATCTCCTGACATTTAGAACAATTAATCAGTGGAACAACTTGCCTCTAGAAGCTGTGAATGTTCCAACACTGGATATTTTAAAGAACAGATTGCACAACCATTTGTCTGGAATGGTATAGGGTTTTCTGCCTGAGCAGGGGGTTGGACTAGAAGACCTTCAGGATCCCTTCCAACTCTATTCTATTCTGTTCTGTTCTGTTCCGTTCCGTTCCATTCCGTTCCATTTCTATTTCTATTTCTATTTTAAGAATTGAATGTAGAGAAATGTTGACAATTTAACTGGAATTCCTACAAATAAAAAGAATAGGATTTTCCTACTGAAATAGCAATAGTAATATCATTTAGACTATATATACTGCCCCATAGTGCTTTGCAGCACTTTCTGGGCAGTTTACAATGTCAGCATATTGACCCCAACAATCTGGGTCCTCATTTTACAACTTTGGAAGGAGGTAATGCTGAGTCAAACTTGGGCCCCATCAGAATCGAACTCTAGAGTGTGGGCAGAGCCCGCAATATTGTATTTTAACTACTGTGCTGCCGGGCTCTTATCTTCATTTGGGACTGGAAGCTCTGTTACTAAGCAATGCAGTTGCAAAATGAAAAAATTACTTGACCATTTCAAATTACAACAGCAATTTTGGTTGCAGTCATTAAGTGAACCAGTCATTAAATGCAAAATCATGTGATGTGACTTGTGATTTCCTGCTTGCTTCCCCATTGATTTTTCTTCTTGGAAGCAGGCAATGAACATTGCAACTGACAACTATGCAACTGTGGGATGCTGCGACAGTCATCATTCTGCACCGGTTGCCAAATGCCCAAATTATGACCTCATGACTGTAGAGATCCCACAATGGCCACAACTTTGAAGACCGGTCATAAGTCTCCTTGTTCAACACTGCTGTAAGTCCAAACAGTCACTGAATGAGTGGTTGCTAAGCAAGGTCTGATTGTACATTCTGTACTTGATAACTCTTTGCAGGATTTGCAGAAATGGGGTTTTTTTCCCCTTAAACATTAACATTTGTATGACCAGATAATTTGTACAATTATTGATATCATCTTAAGAGGATCACACATAACTCATATTTATAGAGTTTGTACAATTCAATGGCTTAAATGTGTTTGGTTGGTATATATATAGGCAAACTGTGTAGGCCACTCCCAATCTTACTCTTCTGTACACTCTTCTGATTCACTTTTGTCTAGAGCAGAGTTTTGTTTTGTTTTTAAATTTCCTCAGGATGCCTTTCCAAATCATGGTGGAAAACCCCAAAAGAACTTTAGTTTATATGTATATTTATCAATATTTACTGCATTAAAAATTCAAATTGACAGATTCACTGCTGCCACCATCATGCTGTCTCATCAATTATGAGATGGAATTTTAATATTGTATTGTTTTTTTTTAACACACGCTGTCCCAAAAGTGCTTTTTCATGAGACAACCATGACTTGGATGACTGAGAATCTCCACAGACATTTAACATATGCGGGCAAATAATTCTGATTTCATAGACACTTAAGGGAGTTTGGGGCATTACAAGATATTGGCTATAGAAAAAAAAGTAGAAACAGACACTTCTGAAAATAACACTATTCTGTAGGCAGTTGAAATAGAGCATTAGTAGGGCACTGTCTGTAATAGAGCCTGGAATATTTTGGGGAAAAACAGGTACTTTTTTTGGCCTTAAGGACTAAAATTGGTAGTGGATTAGGGACTACATGAACAATAAATCCACACACTTTTACTCCCTGCCATATAGGAGACAAATTTTCTCTACACTGAGAATACAGACATATATATTGTATGCTTACTCTTCCTACATTTGTCCAGGATAAAAGGTTGCGGAGATTTAAATCTTGCCTGTTCCCTTGATTCCTTTGAAATGGGGACCTTCCAAAATGGAAAAGAATAGAATGGGAAGAGTGTGAGAAACATGGCAGAAAATTTCATGTAAGAATGAAACAATTTTTAATACAGATAGGGAAGTGCTGAATTAGGAAAGAAAAATTCATGGTTGTAATCTTCCACATAAATGAAGCTTCACTCCTGAAGCTTCAGTTAATAAGAGCAACTGAGACCGGGATTGCCATCACTAAACAATGAGTTCATCTACATCATACAGTGTAAGGACTGTAACAGCCACTATGTAGGACAAACAGGCAGATATCTAGCAGAACGCATCTATGAACATAACTAACAGTGGTCATAAGACATGATGAAAACTCCTTAATTGTAGAACACATGGACAGACTTCACCTTAATTTCAACTGGGGAACTGTGAACATACTAAATTAAAGCTAATTCCAATAACATTAGAGCAGGGCTTTTCAACCAGTGGTATGGGTACCACCTATGGTACATTGGCACCTGACAGGTGGTACGCGAACATCCTAGAAAAGTGGTAGTGAGGGAGGGGAATGGGCTGAACCGGTGGCAGCACCGCACAAGCCTGAGCGAGAGATGGCTGGAGCTGCAGGGCTGTCAGGGCTCAGCGGAAGCACCAGGATCAGCGCCAGGCTCCAGCTGGAGCTCGGCACTGATCCTGGCACTTCTGCTGAGCCCAAAAGAAGTGCCGATCAACTGGAATGTTGCAGCCTCTCCAGGGTCTTGTGATTTACATTCAAATGCTTGGCAACTCATTCATATTTATGATGGTCACAGTGTCCCAGGGTCATGTGAAGTGACCAAAACCTGCTGCAACCACCCAGCAGACGGGGGGAGTAAAAACCAAACACCCCCACCCCACCCCTGATGCCAATCCTCAACAGAAATGCTCACAACAATGAAATCCTCGAACAGGAGGAAGAGCACCGCCGGGTGGGCAGGCGTCTTGCTCGGCTGTGGCTTGGGGGGCACTTTTTCAGTGCCATTGTAACTTCGAACAGTCACTGAGCAAACTGTTGTAAGTCGAGGACTACCTGTACTTTATCACTTTTTTCCTTTTGGGGGGCGTCATCAAGTTTTTGACACCTTGCTAGGTGACTGATTGCCATATCCTAAAAGTGGTACAATGGGTAAAAAGGTTGAAAAGCCCTGCATTAGAGAATTCCTAGAAGTCTGACACATTCAGACAAATCAGCCATCAATCGGCATCTAGAGCTAAATGAGATGTACATACCATTCAAAAGAAACAACCAAAAGCTCAAAAAGGAAACAAAAAGACCAAAATACCTCCTTGTCAACAATCTGATATCAAGATGATATCAACATCTAGATAAGCGGAGATTAGCACCAAGATTAATACTAGACCAACAATCAAGCAGTAAACAAGGAACTACTAACTCAGACAAACAGTAAAAACCTAATCAAGGAACCACCAAAAACACTGCCATCAATACTGACAGAGCACATATATAAACAGAAACCAAACCCTACTTCTTTCTAGCATGATGATGTTACCTAGTTGGGTAATGAAATGTCTGCAAGAGAACAGCAAAGCTCAGAGAGCACTAAGGACCCAATGGTTAGTTCTCAGCCTAGAATATAACAGAAAGAAATGGAATGAAAACCAGTTTTTATTTTTATTAGCTTAATGATGCTTCTGAATGTAAGATAAATAATTGAAACCCAAACAAAACTCCAATTTTGGAGTGATATTTTTAGATCACATTTTAATTTGGCCATCTGTTCTAAATAGCCAGAGATCATAATCATATTTCTGGAAGAAAAAGCAAAAATTCTATTCTCATAATTAAAAAAGATAATTGTTTCCTCTATAAGTAAGATTTGTCAGCTCTTGCTAAAGGACAATACAGCCAAATGATAACATTTCAGGCAAAACTTTAAGTAATAAGATGCTTCACTGCCTTTGATGCTCTAATTACCTCTTTTCAGTGGTGTATGCAATGAAAGCAAATCTTTCAACTCCCAGGCAGTGAAAATGAGTATACTTAATAATTCATGGACAGAGCTTAATTGCTACAAAAGTTATCCCAAAATGATGGTCTTCTCATATGACTTAAAAATAACAGAGTTTTCTGTTTGGTTAGAAAAAGTATGTGCAGCAAATGATTGTTTATTCAGATTCATATATTTCTGAAATATATATTCTAAATTTTCAGAATGCAATCAAGAAAAAGAAAAAAGAAAAACAGAGAAGGACAAGGAATAAGTGACTTTCTGGGCATTTGTTCCAAATCCAGATACTGGGGTTGATCTTGTGTGAAAATCTGTGAAAAACCAATCAACTGGTTTTGGATAACGTGTTGAAGACAATGTACTCCAAAGGGACAAACGGGTATTTGGGGCAGGCAGATTGAAAACTACATGATTGACTCAAGACATCTATTATTTTGTTCACAATATTTACATTCCTGCCTTCCTTCAGAACCTTGAACACTTCAGTGAGACCACTAGTGTTCCCTTTTCTGCCAGCAAAATGTAATCATGGATTGACAGTGATGTTACACACATATATAGTTCTCTCTTTCTTTAACTTTGATTGTTCTATAGAAAAATTTCTACTGGTATTATGTTTGAATTTGGAAATTCAAAGTGCCTTGATAATAATGTCCAACATTCCCACATGCAAAATGGGAGTTCTGCTAAATTATTCCCTGTGTTCCTGCCAACTTGCATACCACTCAAGATATGTTTCCTATTAGCTGTCCTTTCAGTAGTTATGCGAGTAGTCCATTTTGCATTCTGGGTACATTTTGATTCTCTTTGAGTTTGATGTCCTTGTACTTTTTAATGCACTGGATGAGCAAGAGGTATATAAATGTGTGAACATATTATTAAATATGCCTTTAGTAAGACAGGCAAGAACATTTCACAAAGATTAAAAACATTTTAAAAAAACCTAAAATGTTTTATTTCATCTTTTTAAGAAAATCTTTGAAGTCACCAATCACTATCTGGGCTGGAATAATAATGGTTCTTCTACTATGAAATTATTCCTGTAGCAGCATTTTTTAACTCACAAACCTGTCAGTTTTCAGTCCTACCATTCCTTTTATTGGCACAGATGAGACACTTTTTAATTCAATATTAATGCAATAGCAAAGTTTTAGAAACTTATGAAATGAGCCATGGTGTTTAAAATCAATATGTATTGCAGATTTAAATCTTGAAGAAATTCTAAATAAATCACAAAATAATGAAAGATTAGGGACAATAAATTGTTCCCACTTTTGGTGCATCGTATATTTTTAAGACGACATGGCCACTTGGTAAGAGAGAGAAAACATATTCAAGTTATCATTTATTTACCCTACCTGAGAAACTGAATGGAAATTCTTTAAAAATAAAAAATATTAAAAGGAAGCTCATTTACTAGAGCTAACTGGGAAACCAAAAAAGAAACATTAAATTCCTGGCATAAATGTTGGTTAAACCTTCTATATGGTAAATATATCATGCTGATATTTTGCATGCTTTGTATTAAGAGTTCATTGTCAATTCATTCCCCAATTGTCACTGAAAGAATAATTGATGCTCCCACTATATTACTGTTGCCAGAATCTCTTTCGGATACCACACACATTTTATAGGTTCAGCTCAGCCACTGTAACTGTGAGAACTTGATTAAAATACTGTACCATTTAAAAAACAAACCATCAATGTTCTTGGCAGACGGACAGAGTGTTATATTTCCTCCATCCTGCATTGTATTTCAACTATGATATTTCAATTCACCATTTCAATTACTGCTCATTTTAGGCTTCTATTAAGTTCACTATATTATATTACAATTTGTTACCTAAAAGCCAATACATAAAACCTTTTGCAGTTACATCTGAACTTCTCTGAGCAGGCTAAGGCATACACACTCAATAAGCAAATGTAGCTTGTGAATTACAGGAAATGCAGTCATTATCAACCTTTTTTTTTCCAGCTGCAATCTGAGGAAATATTGCCTCATTTGTCTGAATTTGCTCATTTTTCACAATTCATTATTTTCAGAATTGCATAGTCAAAAGCAATTAGAAGGACCTCTTGCATGTAATTAAAAATGCTGGCCCTTTCAAAATACTACTGAAGTATTATGTAGGGCTGCAGAATTGCTGTCTCTGTAGTTGTCCTCATTGTGTCTAGTTAATGTTTACATATTTGATCAATGTTGAGAAAATAAAGATCCCCATTTACATCTCAATAAAACATAAGATGATATAACTGAAATACACGATTGTATCATTTTTGCTGCTAATCAGTACTAACTCAATTACCAGCAAAAAGAATTATACAATACCCTAAAGAATGTATGTTCAATCTAACTAGAATTAGGGTGAATATACATCACGTTTGCAGTATTCCTTATTCAAACCAATGTTTTTAGGCAGAAAATCATATACTGTATTCTATCCCAAGCATATGACCATTTCCCCCTCATATGGTACTTTCTAATTGGTTCAATTTATAACTTGTACAGCTGCAGGATTTAGCAGCATTCAACTTCGTTGAAAGGTATAGATATAAAAAAAAAAGTTATAATAACTTAAGTCCCTTAGCTTACCAGTGATCAGATCTGATTAGTGTTAGCAATGGATATTGCATTAATTTTGCTAATTAATCAATTAGGTCTAAAAATATAACATTTCTTATTTAAAGGAGAATGTTTTAGTTATTAAAATAATAAATACGAAAAGAACTCGCCTGATTTTTCAGATAACTGTGGAGGTCCTACCGGCAGGCTTTTCTCCATACTTGAACCTTTGCTCAGTTACACTTTCTCCCGCAGTTTTCCTTGTAGGTTATCATAACCCTCACCAGTCCTCTGCTTTATAGCTGCCACACTATATTATCCAAAACGAATCATCTTGCAAGTGCTTGAAGCAGGAAGTCATCCCATATCACAGTGTTTCCCAAACTTGACAATTTTAAGGCATGAGGACTTCAACTCCCAGAATTCCACAGCCAGCAACGCTGGCTGTGGAATTCTGGGAGTTGAAGTCCACATGCCTTAAAATTGTCAAGTTTGGGAAACACTGCCATACCATATGGTTTTACCCCTTCAGCTAAAAGTTATAATAAATTCCCTTGGTTACCCAGGGTGAATGACATTTTCCCCCTTATCCAAAGTAATATGATAAAGTAAAAATTCTACTTGCTTTGTCACTGGGACAGCTATGAGGAATTTTGGTTTATAATTTTGGAGAGTTTTGTAGAATTACACTTATTGTTTCCATAGTATATCATCCAGCTTACTTATGGTGCTTTCCTTCAGGCAGGTAGCTATTCACACTTCCAATCATTAAGGAGTTTTATGTTGCCCTAGAGCTATATACTTAGCAAGTCTGAAACTGTATAATGAAAAGTAGCAGACTCCAAAGGCTAGCTGCAGCGGTAAAAATCTGTAACTGACCTTATGAACCGGATGCATCACTTATTGTTTCTATGGAAACAATTGTTTCCAGGTACATATCCTCTAAAAGCTTTTTAAAGTCACAAACTGTACCTTATTAAAAGAAGATCACATGCTTCAGTTAATTCAATAGATGGACAAAAGAATTCAGAAGACCAGGCTGAAGTCCAAATGCAAGCTCTTCAAGCCTATACATTTTCTCCCTGATAAATGCATATTCTTACTCTGAGTCTGGTAACTTGTCAGGCCCAGCCAAAGAATGACAGAACAATACAACCAAAGTTCTGTTCTTTATTTGCTTGTGCCATATAGACAGAAACTTGCGGGACTAAATCTAAACTACTTTTGTGCTAATGGAGATTCTAGGGAGTTGGTGATCCTAAAGTTCTTGCTCTGTCTCTGATTAACCTCCAAGCTATGTTGCCTTGTCTCGCCTCCCTCCTTGGAATCTGCTCCCTCCTTCTTGGGGAAACTGCTGCCTCATTACAGTCCATCACACCACCTCCCTCTTCCCAGACACAATCCATCAGAGAAAGTTTGTTTGGGAAGCAGGAAAACTAGCACAAGGAGACTAAGTTCTATAGTTCCTTTATTCTGAATTGAACTGTTTAGGTTTTTCTATTTTTATCAATAGTCCTGGGAAACATGAGATAACAATCAAGTCTGCTGGGATTCCATGATGAGTTTGGGGCAAAGAAAGTAAAAATATAGATTTTCCACCACTACCAAGACTGCCCTTTAAATAGTTTAAAACATTATCTGAACAAAGCAAGAGAATAACTGGAAAATATCATCCAATACTTTTAAAATTATATTAAATACTGCACAGTGATAAAAAGGAAATGCCTCAGAAGCAGGAAAAAAAATCTATTTAATTTCTTTCAGTTAATGAACTCACACCTACACTGTTTATACTCGCTGAATTGAAACTTACCAATTACCATTGTTATCCAAATAATATATGGTTGAAGAAATAAGAAGAAACTCTCCTAATGTTTATTTGGCTACAGGCAAGTCCAAGGACTGAAAAGATGGAAAGCTACTGAACTTCCTATATATGCTAGGAAACCATTATGATCATCTTCCCTTTGTGATGTGAAGCATGAAGCGTCCACCTCCATTTCCAGAGTTAGGGATATTTCCAAAGGAGTCTAATGCAGCAAGCAAGGAAAACATATACTCTATACTTGAGAATCCTAAGTAATTATATCAAGAACTTCCATTTGTTTTCATTTTAATACTATTAAATAATTAGCAGCATCATTAATTCAGCTTTCACTGAGAGGAGATAAGAATTATTCTTATATAATTGAGATGAGCTCAATTATTCTGCAGCAGTTCTGGACAGGTGTTACAAATCTCAATATGTTTAAACAAATCATGTATTAAGGACAATTTAATATAGAACTTAGAAATAGCTGAAGGTTTCACACTGCTGTTTTTAAACTAAATAACACAAATTCCTTTCTTCCTGCCTGCCTTCCATTATATGAAGCAAGAGTGGCCAACTGAATCAATTCCAAAACTGCTTCAAACAAATAAAAAAACTGATTAAAAGTCCACTGCATTTTTAAACTCTGTAGTGAAGAACATACAGGAGAATTGTAAGTATATATAGAGACATCTATTTTTTTTTTGTTGGAATCTTGAGACAACTTTTGAATGTTCTCAAGTAATGCTGAGTAGATGAGAATGAACCAAGTGCCCCCACACACAAAAGGGAAGAGAAATAAAGCAAAGAAAGAGAGATCATATATATTATCAGTATTGCTATATGAGTTAATCCTTCCAGTATGGTTTCAATTTTTTTTTAGATGCTGGTGAAAATTGAAAAGTTTATCATTATCAAATGTCTTAAGGAAGATTTTTTTAATGAAATAGGGTTTTCAGTAAGTTTTACATACCTTAGGAATAGCCTAAGGCAATAAAAGAGTAAGATTTTGGAGAAATAAATATAGATGACAAATCCTACAACAATGGAGAAAATATAATTCAGAATAATTAGGAAACAATGGAGTACTGGATGGAGATTTTGAGTGGCAAAAGCTGCAGATAGAATGCAAATAGGGAAGGAACTAATAATGGCATCCATCTCCTTCAACAGCTGTATAGAATGTAGGAGGGAGGTATTTGTGATGAGATTCAATCCCTTTAGTGAGTGGGTGCGGGTGCTTTTGGCAATGTTAATCAGCTTGATGGTTGTAGGAGCCCTTGGTGTGATCAAACTGTTCTTGAGAAAAGCACTGAACTTATTTAAAAAAAGGTCTCTGGAACAACCAAGCCTTGAAAATAAATGGAATAAAGTGAGAGCGATACTATATGTGGTCTTAAAATGTGACAACTGAATAGAAGAAAATTTTTATAAGGGAACTACTCTATAGACAGGTATGGGTAGTTGTGTTGGTGGAAGTATATATATTAATGAAGATAACTATTTTAAAATGGCATCAGACCTTTTCATCTTCCCATGCAACATTAGATGATAGACTGAAAATAG